GGTTGGATCTTCCGAGGCTGGCCCTACCACAGCGGGAGTGGCAGGTTTCGAACTCTGGGCGGCCTCAAGAGCATGGGCTCGGCCCTTGGACTTGCGCTTCACGTTGCTTGCAAATCCGCAAACCATGGCTGCAAAATAAAAACAGGGGTCAGCACAAGGTTAGGGGAAAAAGGAGGGGAGCAAGCTCGGCATACCAAGTTCGGAGTTCGGCCTTGAGGATTCAATGGGACGAACTGCAGGATTGTAGTCTAGCAGCCTGGACTCAAGCAGCAGTTCGTCGGTCACCAAGGTCCCGACCTTCCTACCCCTCGGAAAGCGTTCCTTGTAATATTTCAGCGTGTCGAAGGAAGCTTGCGTAAGCTCGGGGACTGGTCGGATTGAAACTGCACAAAGACAAAATTTGGGTTAGACCTGAATAACAAGAAAGAAAAGTTATCACAAAAGTAAGAACTACTCCGTACCTAGGTTCCCAAACCTAGTGGGAACGTCAAAGAAGGAACGACCTGACTCGTCCTTTGCAAGCCATTCCCCAGAAGCGTAGAACCACTTCCTCACCCATCCCTTGATGGAGGTCGGCCCCTTAACTATACCGCMTGCGCCTTTCCTTGCGCACATATAGAACCGACCAGGCTTCTTAGCTATCCTTTTCGCTTCGAAGCACGCGAGGAGCTGGTCTACGTCCAACAGCTCGGCCTCTTCACTATCCCGAACTCGTAGCCAAAAAAGGATGGCCAAAGCGAAAATGACACCCCACCCATTGGGGGCCACTTGAGCCGGAGCCAACCCCGTCCGGAAGAGAAATTCTTGGACAAAAGGGTGAAGGGGAAATCTGAGGTCGTACTCAAACATTTTGAAGTAAAGAGTGACCCATCCCTCTGGAGGATTGTCAGCTCTCTCCCCCTCCTCCGGAATCCTAAGGAGGATGTTCTCAGGGATAGCGAATCCCCTACGAAGGGATCTGAGGTAGTGCTCAGGTATCCTAGAAGGGTATTCCAAACCCTGACCCGAGGTGGAGGCATCACTATCCTCCCCGTCATTGGAGAACCTAAAGTTTTCTATCTCCTCGAGCTCGGACTCTAGCCTACGAGTTAAATCGTCATCGGATCCTAAGTTGCTGCTAAAAGAGGACGACATGGCAACTACGTTCGAAAGAGAAAATGAGGGAAGAGACCGACCTACCAAGGGTTCGAGCTACCTTCAGATCGAACTCCAAGAATTCAGGGAACGTAAGGTGTGACCTGAAGGAGTGGGGGTATTTATAGCTCGTCGGAAAAATTTTCCCACCGTACACGTGTAATCAACGAGCAGCTGGGATCCTCCCTAAGATTCGAAGCGTCGGAATATTTGAATATTCCGACGATAAATCTACCGCAACGGTTATATTTTCCCATGAATAGGAAATCGCCACGCGTCCAAAGCAAGTCGAATGAACTTCTCTGCCAGGTCGAGATCGGACCAGACAGAGAGGGGGCCAATGTTTGGGGAAAGAATACCCTGGACACGTGGAGGACCCCTGTTGGTTCTCCAAGATGACTTATGAGTCATGCCCAGCTCGGACTGCCGAGATCACCACCGTTAGCGTTGA